GTCAAGGACTGCAGCCTACAATATGGATTGAGGCTCAATGTCAAGAAGACAAAGATTCTCACCACTGGCAGCATCAGGATGGATGGTGAAGAGATTGCGATTTTACACAGCTTTAGTTTGCTTGGCTCTGTAGTCAACAGTCTTGGCACCAGCAGCCAGGAAATTAAAAGGCGCATTGCCATGGGAAAGTCTGCTGTTAAGGACCTCTCCAAAGTGCTGAAGAGCAATGGTATCTCTTTGGAGACTAAGGTGCGTCTGATACAGGCCATGGTCTTCGCAATCACGTGTTATGCATCAGAGAGTTGGACAATGACCAAGGAGGATAGAAGGAGAATTGATGCCTTTGAGCTGTGGTGCTGGAGAAGAGTATTGAGAATACCATGGACTGCTAGGAAAACAAACAGATTTGTTCTGGAAAGGGTTAAACCGGGTGGCTCCTTGGAGGCAAGGATTCTGAGGCTCCGTCTAACATACTTTGGACATGTTGTGAAGAGAAACCGGTCCTTAGAGAGGGACATCATGCTTGGGAGGGTGGAGGGACGGCGCAGGAGAGGAAGGCCCTCTATGAGGTGGATTGATTCAGTGACTGTGATAATTGGGATGGGAGTGTTAGAAACAATGCGATTGGCACAGGACAGAGCGGAGTTTAGGGCTGTTGTACATAGGGTTGCTATGAGTCGCAGGCGACTCGACGGCACATAACAACAACAACAACAGTGAAAGCCAGCTTAGTCAACACTATCAAAGCAGAGATCTGATTTCTATGAACACATCTTTCATTTTTGATCCTTAAAAAACGGTCAAAGAAGTTGGAAAGGAGTAACTAATCATAGCACTTACTGGATGAGAGAATAAAATAAAAGTTGCTAGAAAGTACTCTAAAATGTAAAACTTAGAGCTAGAAAGTACTCCAACATGTAACATTACAAATGCTCATTCTATTAGTATACATTCCATTATTTTAGTAGTCAAGAAGCAAACAGGCAAAATGCCCATACCAATGCAATGTCAATACAGCATTCCATACAGAGAAAGAAATTCACATTATAGATTCACAGAGAACAGCCAAAAAAGAAGTGACTTCTCCCCAGTTAGTTCTTCCCCTCATAAAAGCATGAAGCTGATACCAGCACTTCTTACAAAGGTCATGCTGTTTGGTTGCTTCTATGACATGATGGTTAGGAAGGTGGAAAAATGTTGTATTAGTTCCTCCCCAGAATTTTTCCGGCACTGTACCAAGTAATGGGAGATGAAGGAGTAGGCAGTAAGGCATAAAGAGAAGGTGAAAGGCACTGACCATTACAAAGGATTCATTATCTTCTGAATGATTCAACTTCAAAGGAACCATGCTAGTAAGTCAAGGCGGACACGTTAACAATAAATCAAGCAATCATGATGCAAAAAAATGCTACATCCAGAATATGGATACAAACTTACCACCTAGAGGGAAAATTTATTTTAGAAATGAATCCAGAGGAGGAAAATAAGAGAAACACATTTTCATAAGGTTAGTTTTTATCACAGCTAGCATACAGTCAACATACTTCTACCACCATGCACTGTGAAATAATGATAAAGAAAACTCTAACAAAGTGAAGCTGAACAAAGGTACTTCCAAGTATTTACACATATTTTAAAAACAAGCCAAGATCTAACAATCACCCAAAGCACGATCTTGAAGACGGCATAGAGTGCCACTCTTGTTATCATTTTCTCCCTCTATCAGGAATTTTGCTATTATAGCCAATTGCTAAAATCACTTATGATTGGCATGACTCAACATGCTCTTGAAATATTCATTTAGTCTCTTCCATGTTAGTCACCAAAATGAAGTGTGGTGCTTTATCAAACCCCCTTACAATTCTTCAGAAGCTATGTGAAGGAGAAAAAGCAAACCAGGCACTAAGCATGTGGCCAGATCCCCTACCATTCCCACATCCGGTGTGAGCATCACACACACTGATTTTTCTGCCTTGCAAAGGCACCTCACACTTTTACGTACTATTATGGTTTAAATTACTATTATTGCTGTTTAGATTATTATTATTAGTTATTTTTTTAATCGAAAGTGTCACTAAACTAATGTAAGATTCTTTAAAATCTTGGTATTTATTAGAAAGGAGGAAGGAATCTCACCACCTCTACAGAAAGGCTATGCGATTCTCCACACCTCAGCCCACCCTCTCCTTAATGCATTTTCTCAGCTCACAGGCACTGAAGGTCCAAATATCATGTGTCTACTGATGGGCTAATGTTCACATTTATCTGAAGCAACAAGATTTCTTAATGCTCAAAATCTCATTTATTACTTTCAAATCAGAACCAACTCATGGCTGACCCTCCCGAGGATTCCCAAGGCCGTTAACCACGCAGGAGTGGGCTCCATCTGTCCTCCTCTCCCAGAGTAGTCAGTGGCTTCGAACCTCCAAAGAGGTGCAGCCGCTGGGTTAGAGGCCCAACAAACTATGTCACTAGATAGAGCACCAACGTTCTAGAAAAATCCCCAGTTTGGGTACCACATGTAGACAAATATACTCAAAATTCTCTTTCAGCCTGAAAGTTAACTGTGAAGAATCACAGGGTGATGGGGGGGAAGAAGGGGCGGAATTGTAAATGTTTCAGAAGATGGCACAGCTAAACACGTGCTTCACTTTAGAGCCAAGCACATTTCAGAACGATCCACTGGTGGACCATGCCCTCAGAAGCTGGATTCATAGAATCCTGATACCTATTTCAGTGTCACACTTTGGGAATTATAATACCGTGTATTTCCATATGACATGACAATTTTATAATCCAGTAACCTGCCCTGAAGGTATCTATATTTTTTTTATCTAGATCACTGTGGACCATAAACCACATATAAAAGCTACAAATTCAGATTAATATCTAATTCATTCTTTCAAAGGAATTTTTTTTACATTGTAAAGATGAATTACATCATAACCTATCAAAGGAAAATTTCTATTCACAATACACTTCAAATATTTTGTTAGTCTACATTCACTTCTTGCTAATCTAATCAAAGGAAACTCCCTATTAAATTATGTGAAGATGGTGTTACAGAGAGTTGTCACTGATTCTATCCTTGCGCTCTCTTCTTCAATTTTCAAAAAACAGCAGACTGGTTTTTTTCTTGATCTCTTACTATACATATAAAATCTTCTTTAATAGCCTTTTTACAGAGGAACTGTTTCAAACAATCAAATTATATGGCCTTCCCAGCCACTCCAGGGAGACAAAGGTGACAGTTTTTGTCCAGATCACAGCCTCAGAAACACTGAGGGCAATTCCATTCGCAAGTCCTACTTGTCGTTGAACGTCCTTGAGTCAGAACGGACTCAGAGCTGGCCCTTCAGTGGCTTTTCACAGGCAATTATTTGTATGGTAGTAGGAGAGCACCCATCCTTGTCACATAGAGCAGCTGGTGGATATTAACAGCCTGCCTCTGAGATTGCTGTGCAGTTTCTTACCGCTAGGGCACCAGAGGTCCCCTCCATATAGGTTCTGTCCTATGTTGTTGTTGTGTACCACTGACTTGGAACCAACCCATAGCTGACCCTCTGGCAGGTTTTCAGAGGCAGTTAATCGCATAGGAGGAGACTGCCTATCTTTTCCCCGTGAAGCAGCTGGTGGCTTCGAACTGCATGTCTTCGGGATTGCAGCACTGCTTCTCACCACTAGGCAACCAGTGCTCCCTTTTGTCTGTCCTATTGTTGTTGCTAAGTGCCACTGAGTCGTAGACGACTCATAGCGACCCTATGAATGAAAGACCTGAACAGTTGTGTAACTTTCATCATTTCTACAAGTTCAAAGGGTTTCTGGAGGCAAGCTATTTCGAAGTGGATGTCACTCCTGCTTCCAGGCTTGTTTTAATTGGGGAGCTCCACCAAACACTGTCCACCATGAGTAACCATTACCACATTTGACACATCAGTGTCACGGTGTCCTAAAGGGACACTTGTAAAAAAACAAGTTCACTCACTGCCATGTGACTCTGCTCCAACTCACTGTGACCCTCCTACAGGTTTTCCAAGGTGTAAACTGTAATGAGTGATGACAGCTCATCTTTCTACATCAAAGTGGCTGATGGAGTCAAACCCTTGGCCTTTGAGTTAGAAGCACAACACGTTATGGACTATACCATCAGGGTTTGTATGACTCCATGGCAACATGTTTCCATTTATTTGGTTGGGAGTATTAAGACATTTTTAACACATTTGGATAAATATTTAATTAGATCTTTCAAAATATTTATTACACTTTAAACGGAGTTCTGTTGGGTATAGCGGTAAAGAGATTAACTGCCAAAGCAAAGGAATGCAGTTTGAATCTGACAGCTGCTCCAAAGAAAAAAAAAAATGGAAGACCTGCTGGAAGGTCAGCTACGAGTCACTTCCAACTCCATGGTACACAACATGGTAAATTCACACCAGAGCAAAGGGTAGTTTCTGTTTACAGACTGAAATAATTTTTGTGTTAACAAAATCATTACCAGTTTCTCTTTTATGTAAAGTTCCAACACATTCTAAGATTCTGCTTTTATGAAAGCTAAGTTTCATTATATATTTAAAATTTATCATTTATTTTAAATAAACAAGCAATTAGATTAGTACACTGAAGCTAACAGATTTAAGCATGAAATCTGATATTTTTAGTTTTAACTCTTACCATCCTGTCAACATTACGTATCTGTTTTAACATAGAATCAACAATGCAAAATTTCTGTCTCTGCCATCTAGTGGAGAAACATAACAGGACACATATTACAAAGCAATCATCTAGCCAATTTTAAGCATAATTGTCACTTAAAATTAAACTTTATTCAATCATGTAAAAATGATCTTCATCAAAAATATTTATGTTGATATACCCACCATGGAAACTATGCAAAGAATGAAAAGGATAAAGACAGAACAAGCACGTACAAACATGAAAGAAAGTATATATTCAAGACAGTACTGGATATATATGAGACACTGTCACAAAATTGCACTTACATGGCCATGAAGGTCAGTGTTAAGAAGCATCATCGCACAGGTCAGACAATGCACTCCATCTAAAGGGAGAGAATGGGGCAAGAGTTTTAAATCACCATTTCCAATTGCAGCAAGGGAAACATTCCCCTGTCTACTATTAAAATTTAAACATTAAGAACCAATGGAAATAGGATACTAGACTAGTAGGTACATCATGACAATTCTGGGGGAAAAGGAAATGGGTAACAAGAAATTATTAAAAGTTTTTCAATATACTATATTGGACCTTTCTGGTTTTTTTCATTGCCAGTATCTTTTTATTAATGTATTTTTAAAAATGTGCGAGGTCACAGTTTACAAATCACATTGGTTTTTACAGAAATCATTTGTAGATATTAATTAGTGATTGTTGCAATTGACTTTGTAAAATGTTAAAGCAAACCCCTATTGCATACCTTCACCTACTTTTCTGCTTTCTGGATTTGGGATTCCCCCCTCTCTTTTCTTCTTTCCTATCACTTTGGAAGCAGGAGTGGCATTTAGTTCCTAAATAACATGCTCTGGAAACTTTACGAACTTTGATAAATTTCTATAGTTGTAGAAGGGCTTCAAGCCTTTTGTTCATAAGGTTGCTATGAGTTGTGCTCCACTCAAAGACTAACAACAGCAACAACATCACTTTAGAAGACAATTTGTCAGTACACATCAAACATCTTGGAACAGTGTCTACTTCAAGGGCTTTACACTAGGTAAATAGTTAAAGACGTGCACAAATAACTCAGATATTCAGAGAAGGGCTGCCTACAGTGCAAGATAACTGTTTCTCCCCAAACATGGTTTTGTGAAATAAAGTCAATAAAAATTATGTCCAAGTGTGCATGAAGACATGAAAACGATTTCAAAGAAACTTATTACGGAACTTATTATTATAAAGTCTGATACTATCTAAATATGCATAAGCATTAGAAGAATATATATTAAAATACTTTTAGAGATCACCTCTGAAGAGGGATATTGTGATTTAAAGTATTTATCTGTATTTTCTGAATTTCTGATAACATAACATATATAAATGGATGTGAATTATTTAATACTGTACCTTCTAAAAAATTATCTTGAAGAAAGGTGAATAGAGAAAGAAGTAAAAGTTAAAGAAAACCAAAATTAGTCTTCCAGTGTTTATATCTTATTTCTAACTGAAAATATACACATAAAAACAGTTCCCTTCTTTCAGGTCTCTTTTAATAAGATAATATATAAAGTTAGAAGTTTTATCTAGAGTTTCATGAACAAGATGTAAAGTTAAATATTAAAATATGCTATGAAGATTAAAAATTATGTATGAGGGGAAGTGACCTAAATCAAAAGGATTATCTCACATATAAACAGAAAAACACATTAAGATATGAAGCACTGTGACAGAGATGAGAATTGTAGGCTGTTTCTAAATTTAAGAACTGATTCTTCTCCTTATCACTGCATCAACTGACGTACTATTGACAATGCTAGTTCTGTATGTAGTAGAAGTTTCATTAATTATGCTAAGTGTATAGAACCACCATCCGAATTACTGGTTTTACAAATTAAGTACAGTTGTTAGTTTTCAGGTTTGTAAGGGACCAGGAATATGTTACAGCTCTAGTATAGCAGGTGATTTTTGTTCTTAAGGTCTAAAAATGGGTGCTTCTATATATCCAAGGGTATATTCTGGCCTTTATTTAATGATCACAAATTCTTAATTTATTGAAAACAAATTTCTAAATGTATTTGTAAGAATTAGATTCAACTCAAATTTCTTTATGAACATCCATTTCTATGCATAAGTCCAGTTTCTTTATTGTACTGAGGCACATCCTTTCTTCCTTGAATTTATATGTTGTTGTTCTGTGCCGTCGAGTCGTTTGCAATTCACGGCGACCCTATGTGCAAAAGTAACTCTCATCGACTCTACTATATAGTCAAAGCTAAGATGACAGAAATAGTGAATAACTTGTCCAAATACAGTTAAAAAAACCATAAAAAGTAGTAATTAAGTTGCCAGGTAAAAATGTGATCTTACTAATAAGATTACTTAACACAACCCAGCTGGACTCCAAATTGACTCAATGGCACTTAACAACAATACAGCCTATAAGCGGAAGAGCAGTTTATTAGGAGGAAAGAAAGACCTTCATTGAGACAGACTGACATAGTAATTTCAACTATTGACTCCAGCACACCTTAGACTATAAGCAGCACACCTTAGACTATAAGGCAGTGCGGGTCAGGCAAGGATAAGACATGCTGAATGCAGGGTCATTACTATTCATAGTCAGTGGAAGGTACCTGACAATGGTATGTTTATAAAAGATTTTCTAGGTTCAGGTGAGTGTGCTTAAAACTTAAAACACTGGACATTTATTGCTGGAAATGAAATAAAAAGAGAAGACTTCTCTTTGTCTTAAAGCCTGCTTTTGATAAAGAGTCCCATTATCATAAATATATAATTCATCAATATAATAAATGAAAGTCAGTGGTCAGTGTCTTTACAATGCCAAACAAAAGCATTAGAGACATCACAACCTCCAGTGAGATTTGTACATCTTTCTAAAAGTAATCTTAGAAGTATACATAAATTTTCATCAAGAAGTTTAGAGATCAGAGGTAAGAAAAGCAGAAAAATATAAAACAAAAACCCAGTAACTTGCCAGTTATGACACACTTTGCACATAAAATCTCAGAATTACAAAGCATGAACACATTAAAGTATAGGAAATACAGATAATTAAGAGTAAATATCATGCGGTCTAAATATATTTCAAATAATTATTTAATGATATTTGAAATTACAATAAAAGAGAAGGATACAAAATGCTATAATGATTCCAATTTTACTTTAAATATTATTTGGTTTATACCAAAGCAAGCACATGAGTTTCCTTAATGTGATTAGTGCTATCTAGATAATTTTCATGTCATTTAACATTTCCTATGTTTTCTTAAATATGCAACTTTTATAATAAGGAAAATAATCATCATTAATGAAATTTAAACACTTTCATCAAATTACCTTGTGAAGAAATGGTATCTGGATTACAAGAAAAATATCTATTGGAGAAGTGTATTAAAACTCTCTCTCGTTCTTGAGTTTCTCCCACAAGAGAAAATGCTTTAAAAAAAGACCTAAAAAAAATGGAGAAAGAAAAACTTTTTAAAAAGTTATTGAACTTTATGTATGGCAGTTAAAATTTATTTAGACAAATACTGGAAACTAGTTCTATAAATGTATTCTTCAATTGTTAAAAATCATGCTTATGTTATTCACCACATCAGTAAAAACTCATAGTGACATTTAAATGCAATAAAAAAGTAAACATAAAAAAATGACAAGATAGAAATGTTGTGACCGGTATGTCAAGAAAGCCTTGAGAAGCTAAGTAATTTCTCCATTATCATTGTCAAGTAGTCAATTTTATACAGTTATTCAGGGAGAAAGTCCAAGGACTACTCCTCCAGCTGGAGCACACAATCAACCAAGTAAGGTGTAAACACTGTGGAGGTATGGCAGGGTGAGCAGGGGGATTGATTGCATTGGCTATGGTTGCTTGATTTAATCTCCATGGTCAGTGTTATAATTACACAGAATTTTGCATATTTTGTGTATTATCAAATGGTATTCTTAATTTGTTTCAAGAACTATTGTTAAAGATACTGTTGTTGGTGTTGTGTACCAGAGTCAGAATCGACCTATAGCTGATCCTCTGGCGGGTTTTCAGAGGCATTTAATTGCACAGGAGGAGACTGCCCATCGTTCTCCAACGGAGCAGCTGGTGGCCTCGAACCGTGTGCCTTTGGGATTGCAGCACAGCTTCTTGCTACTAGAGCACCAGAGCTCCCTAGGAGGAGGATTTGGGGAGATAAAATTATATATTCCTGACATCTTGAAATATATTACATACTAGATTTCCTTGAACCACAAAAATTACACCCAGAACCACATGACACGTGGTTCTGTGAGAGAAGAGTCTGGCAATCTGCCCCCGTAAAGATCCATTTGAGAAAATGCCACAAGCAGTTCTGTTCCACCACAGGAGGCTGCTCTGAGTTAAAACGGACTTGTAGGTGCCCAGTAATGACAAGGAGTGTCACTGGAAATTAATAGAATTTAATTTCTCCTGGAAATTAATAGAGACCACTCTCATGTTGCCAAGAATAAGTTGCCTAAATAAAAAAAAAAGGTATGACTAAAAGGTGTTTTTATTCTTACTATTGAAAGAAAACCTAATAAATCTTATTTCTACACTGAAAAATTATTTTTCAACCTTATTAGATTCACAGGCTACCAACTTTCATCTTTCATGTCTTTTAAAACTATATGTACACATCTCTCTTTTTGCTTTATACATACATATATATATACACACACACACACACACACACACACACACACACACACACACAGATACATATTAAGAAAGAGGCAAAAATATTGATCCTTTCTTTACTCATAAGAATACACATAACCTACAAGTAGCCTTCAGGGTCATTTATAACATCATTGGATAGTGTAACCCCAACATCCTCAATGAACGTCCAAAGGCCTCATTTATTTCTAAAGCTAGAGAATTTATAAGATTATCTCAGAATTTCTCCAGGCTCTAATATTTTTAAGCCATTCATAAAATGAAGGTTTTTGCTTTCATCCCATCAGGAATCTGGAGCATAAACTGTGACAGGTGAGGATCAACATGTTTATGACACCTTCCTTTCAATAGATCAGCCAAAGGACCCAGTTTCTGCTGATTATTAAACGGGTAATTACTTTCATTCTACTCAGGAGTCAATCCCAAAATAGCAACTATCAAATTCTCATATTCCACTTTTCATTTTTTACTAATCACAGCAGTTAGGCTTATTAGTAAGTGAAGAATATGAGTTAATGTATAATTTCATAAAAATAATGCATTTTAGTATTTTCTGCTATGTTTAACACATGCATAAAACAATTTGAGCTAAGTTCACAAAGTACTTCTCTTAAAAATGAATAAAATCTGATTCTAACTCCAATGCATTGTTTCCTGTTTCCCTTTCAAGAATTATTTAGAAGCAAAAGAACAGAAACAGTGTTTAATCAGACCTGAGAGATTGATCTAGCGTCATTCCTGTAAAATCAAAAAACTTCAGATACTCTTCTGCAACAAGTTGGCTAAATTCATTGCTGTAAGAAAACAGAGCAGATTTGGTTATTAATATTAAAACCACTAAAACACAGACACAAACAGCATAGCCAACACCACCATGGCAAACTCGGTCAGACACGAGTCTGGGGTTAGAACGTACTTCTTGCCTAAGTGCTTAGCGACGTCCGACCTCTTGAATCTGTCAAGCTGATAAAGACGTTTGGCCAACCGCTTGGCTGCTTCCACGTTGCTGCTAGTACCATTACTGAGATTTTCCGGTGCCTCCTTTTCCAGAATTTCAGTGCTCCCCATTTCAGAATGAGCTGCTAGCAATGTCTTCTTCACCCCAGCATTGCTGTTAATGAAAATATAAAAAAGGAGGGCAAATGATCATGACTTTGAATCAACTATTTTGAGATAACTGTCTATTAATTGGGTATATATTTATTTTATTTCTTATATTTCAAAGGCTAAAAAAATGTGATCTGCATAGCTATCTAACAAGTAGTGATCCTTTTTTTTTTTTTTAAGTTTCAGGGCTGCTTGCTTCTCAAGTTGAGAGTCACATGTTCAATTTTCCTAAATTTCAATTTTCTAAATGAAATTGTAAATTTCATTATAAGCAAAAATATTTTCCTTAAAGTGGTATTTGTCAAATATCAATTCCAAGGAACCATAATGTGTCAGTCATTCCTGATCATTAATTCAAGGGAAAATTAGGTTCTATTGGGGGGGGGGGGGAAAGCATAGTTTAGTTCACAGCCCAAATAACAAATGAAAACTTTCCCTAGAAAAAGCCATCATATTTTAGGAAGCCCAAGAGTGCTTATGTATAATATTATGATTCCCATTTCAAACAGAAAACATATGCAAAGGCTGAGGTATAATCATTTTTAATGCTCCATCAAAACTATTACCAGAAGAATTAAGAAAGAACCTGGTTTACTCTAAATCCCTGGCAGTGAAGACTACAATGATGACTAGGAAAGTTTGGTGTCACCGCTTTGGTCTGAGCTAAGTTGCCAGCAGTTATAGCTATGACTGCTTCATGATTATCAATTAAATGAAAAACAAACCCTTAATGTTATTATAAAATCATGCTGACTTATTTATCCTGAAAGGCACTCAGGTACACAGGTCCATGATCACATGACGAGAATCACTAAGAGATTAAAAACTACAGCTTTGTGGCAAGATCTAGAACATTACATCATTTGTAACCCTGAAACCAACTGTGACACAATAATTGCCAAATCTTCATTTTAACTTGGTAGAGGAACAGAGACATATTCATGCCAAGATAATTGAACTTAAACGACCTGCCAAGCCACCTACCACAGAATCTAAATCAAAGGCCATCAAATGTTTTATGTTAAGAATCAAACAGTAAATAATTTAATCCTGCAGGTCATACAAAGTCTGTTACATATCCTTCTTCGGTTTTGCTACAATCCTTTAATCATTTAAAAGCCATTCTAGTGCACAAAAGGTCACATGCCCTTACTCTGTTCTATAAAAATTATGTCTTTTCTGCAGTAATTTCATTTGGTATTTAAATTATTTTTATCACGCTTTTAGGGGAAGTTTCCAGAAAGGATTCATGAAAACATATCCTTTCTAGACAGTTCCACTAACATCATGATAAAAAGTAATTAAAATCAATGGAATGACTATAGGAAAAAAATTAAAAGCTAATTCAAAACAAAACAAAAATCTTTAACCTAGCATTTTAACTATAGGTACAGTAACCATTTGTCATCAATACACTCTTAAGAGGAAACAAGGATCATACAATTGTTTTTTGGTTTTTTTTATTAATTAATTATTTTTTATTTCAATGAACAGCTACAGAGATTCTGGAATTCCATTCATTCATTGTTGCAATAGGTAATTGTTACAAAACAAAATCAGCAATCCAACAAAAATTTACATATTTAACAAATGACAAAAATCACTGCAGCAAAACTAAAGGCATTTTTAAGTGGAATGGCTCTCCCCTTTTTTTTCACGTATGTTATATGTATTGAACTTTCATTTTGCATTTCTCACTAATCTGCCAAACAAGTAACTGCATCATAACCACCCAGAATGTTGTCTGGGCCACTGCCTGATCTACTAACAGACCTAGGAGCCCAGAGGGGCTGCTGACAGACTACTTCTCTAACCACCAGTAGGCTTGAAGGAGTTAAATGAGCTCTTGTAGCATATTAAATACAGCACATATTGTCCTTGAAATAGAAATTATTTCCGTTACTTGAAACGTACAAGAGAGACTGGGTAACCTTTGACTGTCTCTATATTCACCTCGTGGCATAGTGGTTAGGATTTCAGCTGCTAAGCAGAAGCTCAGTGGTTTGAACCAACCAGCCATTCCAAGAAGGCAGGGTCTGCTCCTGCTAAATGCTGAATTAACTAGGAAATCAACTTGACTGCAATGGGTTTCATCATGGAGCGCAAGAAAAAGGTAAAAGTAAAAGGCCAAAGAGACCTCTTCTCATTTAAATGGTTTCTTTATGCTCACTCTTCTCAGGGCAAATCCATGACATATGCCTAATCATTCCATGCATACACTGCCATCCAATCGGAACGGACTCACAGCTCACCCTCCCTCCAGTAGGTTTTTTGGAGGCTGTAAACCACACAAGAAGACTGTGCCCATCTTTCTTTTGCAGAATAGCTGACAGATTAGAACTGACAGTGAGGCATCACCTTTGAGGTATAGAGCAAACTCTCTACAGCCTTTGTCACAACAGCTCCATTCTATGTATCTGATTGGAGAAAAAGGAACAAAACCCAAATGCACAAACACACAATCTAGTAACCACAGAAATTAAGGAATACAGTGAGAAGAGAGGAAAACCGCCGTTCCTAAATCACATTCCGCCTAATTTCATGGTTGATGAGATCATCTGAACAAGCACACAGAGCTTTCTTTTTAAGTTGGAAAGCCTGGCAATATGGTGGCAGCCACACTCACCGACAACACCACAGACAGCTAGAAGCAGCCATCACGGAGTCTGGGCCGCCCCAAGGCCATACTTCTCATCTCTCCTTTCTCCACAAAACTGAAGGGTGAAGGGTCTGCTCATCCACTCTGGCTTCCAAAGTTCTGGCTCCCTATGAGGTCATGTTACTATGACCTCACATTCTCTGCAGAGTGTTTATTGTGGGGGTTTTGTAATGTTTTCTTACAGCCCCAATAAAGATAGGAGCCAAAACACAGGGGCCACTGTTTATCACGGGCATAAAAGACAATGGCAGTCCAGCTTTGTTCATGCTTGATAAAGCTGACTAGAGGACCCCTACCAGTGGGGATAACACCCTATCTTGTGTCCTCAAATAAACCAGCCATTGTCTGTTTAGTCTGGTGAGTATTAGATGCTTTCCACTACTTCATCCGTGGTTTCACTTTTCCCTTCTCTGCTCTAGTTCAACTTTATTTTCTCTACTTTTCTTTAGCAAGTAATTTTACAACTTCATAAGGCAAAATTTCTCTCAAGTCTCTTGATTATAGAAAAAGGATCCTGAAAGTCTTCTAGAAAATCGGTCAATAAGGTCTATATCTAACATTTTCAAGGAAGTGTGGTTACATTCTGCTATCAAAACACTGAGTGGGATCACAAGGCCTTTTCATTACCTCGTTAACATACTAACATCATCTGATTTAGGGGGCAGGGGACTTAATGAGACATCATTAAATTATAATTTCAGGTAAATGATGGAACAGTTTTTTAAGTAGAAGTATGCACAGTTCAAATGCACCATCTGCTCCATGGGAGGAAGACAGGCATTTTCCTGGAATGTGATTTTCTGCCTCCGAAAGCCCAGTCAAGTATGAGCTACGTGTCACTTTTTACTCAACGGTATATAACAATGAAGTATTATGAATATACCTATGCTAAAGGAGCTCTTGTGTCCTAGTACGTAAGGGAACACACTAACAATCCAAAGTCAAATGGTTTGAATACTTCCGCTGTTCTGTGGAAGAAAGGTGGGCAATCTCTCATGTGATTTGCTGCCTCTGAAAATCCACTGCAGAGTCAGCTATGAGTGGGTTCCAACAAAAGGCACATTAACAACACATAATAAAAATTATTTGCTTCTGAAATGTACTTGGGCATCTCATGTTTTCTCTAATAGTCTTATTTTCTGAAATACCTATCTTACACCTTAATGAGAACACTGGTGATTCCTTTGACTCATTTGTTAACCTGGTTCTTAGTAGAAATGAAGGAATCTGATTATCTATATTATTCAGACATTCTCTCAGCTAATTATGATCTACTGTTTCTTCAATAGCCTCTAAATACAAAATTGAAAGCCTTTCGCTCTATTTCTACCCTTTATCCCAATCTGCATGCTCCTACTGTAGGTGTTAGCATATATTTATATTGTAAAAATCCTACACAGGGTCAGAAGCCAGAGTTTCTGGCATGTTACATAGATAAGACCCTTCCTGTGTTGACCCCAATTTCTCTTCCACTTGACTCCGCTCCTTTCCCTCTTGCTCGGTTCATTTAGCTGCCTCATCTCTTTCATAAATTGCACCCTGTAGCATTCCTGTCATCTACCTCCCTAAACTCTTTTTGTCCCTACAAAACTTGGTAAAATGACAGATGTCCTAAAAATCATGTTCCAGCTCCTTCTGCAGCAGTCTGAGCATTTAACACATTCCTTTATTAGAGTATTGGCTTTCAAAACTCTCATCTCCCTGACATACCACTGTACTGAACTCTACTATGTATTCATATTAAGAGGGGGCTGAATTTATGCAGTCATTGTCAGTTGAAAGAATCTAAAAACCTAGCAATGAGCAGTGTCTATTCCCACGATCTTCTCACTAATAGGCTACCTTAATCTTTCTAATGCACTCTAATTAGTACTGGACTAAAGGATCCCTGGTGACAGAGTAATTAATTTATCAGGCTGCTAACCAAAAAGCACATATTTTGAATCCACCACCTGACCCACAGAAGAAAGATGCGAAGTCTCCTTTCATAAAGCCTTGAAAACCTGGTGGGAGGTCACTATGAGCAGGGAATCTATTCAATGGCCAGACAGTCACGAGAAGGTATTACAAAAAAAAAGGGCAAACCCACTGCCCGTGAGACGAGTCGGACTCACAGCAACCCTCTATAGAGTTTCTAAGATTATAAATCCTTACAAGAGAAAGCAGCTCATTTTTCTCACATGGAGCAGCTCAAGGACTTGAACCCTGACCTATAGGTTAGCAGCTTAATTTCTTCTTACTAAGGCACCAGAATATTTTGTTAGAAAATAAAGATAGGTATTAGTTCACATTTACTTTTAAATATACTTCTTAAAATGTGGTAGTAAAATTGTTATTAGGTGCCA